GAGATGAGCAATTTCCCTAAGGTATCTTCTGCGTTGCCTCAGAGAAGCAAGAATGGATTTGCACAGGAACAGTTTACTTTCTTCCTCCCCATAGCGTTGCATGCTCAGAGTGAGCAGCATCAAAGGGCACTGCTGCTGAACCTCAACACAGCAGCAATGCTGGATTAGAGTCACATCCAGAAAGTGCTCAGCAGCCAACACCAATGGCATCCATGTGTTTCTGAAATCAAGTGCACAGTGCTCAGTTCTCATTCCTTTGAGATAATCTTTACAATAAAGTGAGATTGTTGAGATCCACAATGCCTAGAGATGGCATCTTGAGTGATAACTTGTTTCTTCATGTGATAACAGAAGAATGTATCGGGGAATGGTCCTCGGGACTAGAAGTGCTAAGAAAGCTTAGAAAGGTTAGTACACAGTGGAGAAAAATCTAAATAGCCTCAGGATAGAAAAGTATTAAAACATTCTGCCAGTTCTGAAGCACATTTTTGGGTTTAGATCATTTAGCAGTATTGCACAGACACAACTCTTCTATTGCTCACGCCGGTGAACAATTATACTGATGTGAGTAACATTAATTCAGATTTATTCTGTGTAACTTTAAACAAAACCTTGCTAGGACCTTAGATATGTATTTTAGACAATATTCCAGTATATTCTGCTGTGAATAAAATAAACCTGAAAATTATAGTTGCACCAGAGTACTGAAATGAACTGGGGCATGCTCAGGCAATTCCAAGTGTAATCAGCCCTCCAAAATGGCCTGTCCTTGATGTTTTGTGGTGGACTGACCACAGCTTCCAGCAGCAGGTCACATAAGAACTAAAACCACAAGCAGCTTCCAGACAGAGCTGAATAGAAAGGACTCCTGATAGTACACTTGGTTGTTTTGGCACTCAGGTACAATAAGGATGTTGTTTCTTTTCTTTCCTTTTAAGAAGTATGTGAGATTTCAGCCAATTCTCCCCAACAATTAGTCCAGGATGAATGTACTTAACTCAGGATTCAGCTGGACAGAGCTCAAGTAGATGCAATGAATTTTCCACTATATCAATTTCCTTCCTCTCTTCCCTACCCAGCATGAGACATCAGCTCATCACTACAGCCAGCGGTGACTAAGTCAAATAAAACCACTGCCTTCAGCCATGCTCACATTAAAGTTGATTATTCCTTCTTTTGATTTTCCCTGGTTTTCAATTTTTGCATATCCTGTTCAGTAGCCCAATATTTGGCCTAGGTGTAAAAGCAGCTATAGCAAACCACAAACACCAAATGCATTCACTGGCTGCTATCAACCCCAAAGTGTACAGAATCAGCTGCAGAGCTTCACTTATAAAAGTTTCCCCTTTGCACATATTTAACTAGGATCTATCTGAGTTTTCCATGTGCAGGTACTGTACGTCTGCATCTGCCAGAATCTGTGCTGTGCTGTCTCTGGGTGTAACACCAAATTATCTTCACCATCATCATCTAAACACCATAGCACCTCTGAGTCATAATTAGCTGCTGGCAACTTTACTTGAACCAACATCATTCAATATGGCCTGAAAAAGAACAGCTGTAACAACAGGGATGACTTGCTACTAAAATCTAACCAGGCCAATAAAAAAAATAACATCTTACCCTGTGTTCAGCAGTAGCAGTCATTTTTCTCCTTCTTAGTAGCTGGTGCAGTGCTGTGGTTTTGACTTTCAGTCTGGGAACAATGCTGATAACACTGATGGGTTTTTTTAGTTGTTGCTAAGTAACATTTACTCTGACCAAGGATTTTCTGAGTCTCATGCTCTGCCAGGGAGGAAGGGAAGCCAGGAGGAAGCAGAGACAGGACACCTGACCCAAACTAGCCAAAGAGGTATTCCATACCACAGCACGTCATGCCCAGTATAGAAACTGGGGGCAGTTACCTGGAAGGGCTAGATCACTGCTCAGGTCGGGTTGGGCAGGGTATCGGTCAGTGGGTGGTGAGCGGTTGTATTCTCTTCCCTTATCATTATTATTATTGGTGGTAGCAGTAGCAGGTTTGTGTTATACCTTAGTTACTGAACTGTTCTTATCTCAACCCCCGTGGGAGTGACATTCTTTCCATTTTCCTCCCCATCCCTCCTGGAGTGGGGGGAGGAAGGGGGGGGGGGGGGGAGTGAGAGGCTGTGTGGTTCTGGGTTGCCAGCTGGGTTTAAAACCACGACACAAGCTTCTATCCTGATTACTTAAAAAATCCCCTCATCTGTCCCAGAGAAAAAGCTGGAATTCACCCATGCAATTAGATTAAGTTAATGAGTAGATAGATATTATCCGATATTGTATTTTGTAATCCTCTGCTAAGCAGGATGCTGTTCACTTTGGGAGCCAACAAAATAGCTACTCATTCACTGTCAGACTTGAGCAAAGTCAAGAGTGACCCCTGAAGGTTTCAGATGAGTTTATTCTAGAACCTGGTAATGGTCCAGAGTCATTTATCAAGGTCACTAAATTCTACGTTCAGGTTGTACATTTTCTTAAACCAATATTTATCTGTACAAATCTCAGGAGAAAAGATAACATTTCTCCTTTCACAAGTCGACTTTACAACGGTCTTTTCATTATCAATTTATTTGGTTCTATGCCAATAATATTTTACACTTTTTCTAATCCTTAATTAATGCTTTTTATAAACAACGCACACTTAGCACATTCTACTCAGAGTAAATCTTTTTCTGTGTATATGCATCACAACAAGATCTTCATCATCCAGGCAAATATTTTCAGAATTTAGGAACCTAAATAAATGTGTGGGCATATCAATAAAAATTACCTGAACTCCTGAAAATTGAGCTCTTGTACTTCCCTTGAACTTGGTGGGAACTTGTGAGCTCTCGGCAGCTACAAAGAACGCACTGAGGAAGCTTCCAAATTAAATTCACAATGCTTAAGGCGAACACTTCTGAAAGTGCTGCTCTGAATTTTCGAAGTCCTGTTTCCCCTGGCAAAGACATGACTTCCCCAAATCCATACAGAACAGATCACTTTCAAATAGATTCAGATTTAAAGAGAAACCTAAAAAGGTCCCAAGAACAGCAAGGGGGAACCAGTGATTTACCTGCAAGTTTTCTCCTACAAAAATAAAATAGCTTACGGTATTTCAACATGCAGTTTCTATTTGTTCTTATTGCATTCAAACATAAGATAACAATTTAAAGTATTAGGTGTACACAGAAATGACAAATATATGTGCTTGACTAGAGTTCCATTTGGAAATAGGAAGTGAGGTTTTAGCTGCACAAATTTTATTATTTTTCTGAAAAAATGATAAATGCACATTACAGTTCCATAAACACAAGTGATTTGAAATATGTAGAGCTTATAATGGCCAGGTTGAAGCCATTTTGTAAATGCAGGCCGTAAAACAACCAAGCACTACTTTTCTAGGCTGTTGCTTAAGAAAACACCATTGAACACTTACAGATAGCAAATAAAAAAACAACTTTTGAAGTTGGAGTCTTGCGTGGGTATTTTGCCTCAGAATCACAGAATCGCAGAATCCTAAGGGTTGGAAGGAACCTCAAAAGATCATCTAGTCCAACCCTCCTGCAAGAGCAGGGTAACCTAGAGTACATCACACAGGAACTTGTCCAGGGGGGCCTTGAATATCTCCAACGTAGGAGACTCCACAACCCCCCTGGGCAACCTGTTCCAGTGATCTGTCACTCTCACAGTAAAGAAATTTTTCCTGATGTTCACATGGAACCTCCTATGCTCCAGTTTACACCCATTGCCCCTTGTCCTATCACTGGACATCACTGAAAAAAACCTAGCTCCATCATCCTGACACTCACCCTTTACATATTTGTAAACATTGATGAGGTCACCCCTCAGTCTCCTCATAAGAGAGATGTTCCATTCCCTTAATCATCTTTGTAGCTCTGCGCTGGACTCTTTCAAGCAATTCCCTGTCCTTCTTGAACTGAGGGGCCCAGAACTGGACACAATAGTCCAGATGCGGCCTCACCAAGGCAGAGTAGAGGGGGAGGAGAACCTCTCTTGACCTACTAACCACACCCTTTCTAATGCACCCTAGGATGCCATTGGTCTTCTTGGCCACAAGGGCACATTGATGGCTCATGGTCATCCTCCTATCCACCAGGACCCCCAGGTCCCTTTCCCCTTCACTACTGTCCAGCAGGTCAGCCCCCAGCCTGTACTGGTACATGGGGTTGTTCTTCCCCAGATGCAAGACTCTACACTTGCCCTTGTTGAGTTTCATCAAGTTCCTCTCCGCCCAACTCTCCAGCCTGTCCAGGTCTCGCTGAATGGCAACACAGCCTTCTGGTGCGTCAGCCACTCCTCTCAGTTTAGTATCATCAGCGAACTTGCTGAGGGTACACTTGGTTCCCTCATCCAGGTCGTTGATGAAAATATTAAACAGCACTGGTCCCAGCACTGACCCCTGAGGGACTCCACTAGTCACAGACCTCCAGCTAGATTCTGCCCCATTAACCACAACTCTGCCTTCTTCCTTCCAACCAGTTCTTGATCCACCTCACTACCTGATCATCAAGCCCACACTTCCTTAGCTTATCTATGAGGATGCTGTGGGAGACAGGATCAAATGCCTTACTGAAATCAAGAAAAACCACATCTACTGCTCTACCATCATTCATCCACCTAGTTACTTGCTCATAGAAGGCTATAAGGTTGGTCAAACATGACTTCCCCTTGGTAAAGCCATGTTGGCTGCTCTTAATGACTCCCTCATCCTTGGTATGTCTAGAGATGGTGTCAAGAATAAGTTGTTCCATCACCTTTCCAGGGATGGAGGTAAGGCTGACCGGTCTATAATTACCCGGGTCCTCCTTCTTGCCCTTCTTATAGACTGGCATGACATTTGCCATCCTCCAATCCTCAGGCACCTCACCTGCCTCAGGAAGCAGGCAAGATGAGGTTTCACTCTGTACACTAGTTGCTAAAGGAATATATATTACAAAATGAAGCTATTTAATAAGGCTATGGTAGATCTGACTTACCACAAGAGCAGCATGTGAAGCAGTTGGTATGATAGAGATTACCCATTGCTTGGCAAGCCTGGCTCGCTCCATACACACCTTTTCCACATTTTATACAAATACCTACAAAGCAGAAAAAGAATGAAAGTTAGAACCCTCCACTGCTCCAGACCATTGATTCATATCACTCACAATACCACTCACAAATGGGATCAGGCCCTAAATCAATGAGCTCCTCACCCTGAACAGATTCAAGTACCCAAGACAGCTGCAAGTGGCTTGAGTGAAACAGATGCACGGAAATTAACCCAAAATAAATGGGAGGGAAGTCTCTGCTGGTGTGGATGCTGAAGCTGGCTAAAGACAGAAATCCAAAGGAGACAGGTACAATGAAAAAGGACAGAAACAGCACACACTCTCTGGAAATAACTCTGTTTGCCAAAAAAATAATTTAGTGACACCTTCACAACTAGGTGCTCCATCACATTCCATTCAATAATCACTAAACAAAACAACAATCCAGTCCAAATCCAAACGACTACTCTTTGCCCCTCTCCAGCAATGCCAAGGGTCATTTGCCAAGGTGAGTAGCTCCAGAGAGGACACCTTCAGCAGAAGAGCATGAAGAAAACACAACATCCAGGAGTCTCGATCCTGAACGGCAAGAGCCACCAAGGGAGCCTCAAGTCCTCATCAGGACTTGCCCAGGAGCCAGCAGCTCTGCTGACACGAGCATCTGACTCATAGGGGATGGCACCAGAAGGGACAGCACTGCCCTGAGTGGATAAACACTGCCCAGAGAGCGCAGCGCGACAGTTTGCACAGGCAGAATGAGTGGGCAGAGCCCAGTAGCCTGGTAGGCTTCAGAGGTAAGCTCAGTCAGCAGTCATCAAGAGCTCTAGGATGGCATCCTCCTGACAGAAAGGAAAGAAAACTAAGTCCTCTCTGCTGGCCAGGAAGGACATGGCGACCCAAACAGAGGTCCCTTATAAACACGTAACTGTCCAGGTATCTGGCTGTAGTGAGTGCCAGAGCCTGTCAGCAATGTTAGATGTTGGTTGTGCAAGATGTCAGCAGGTTAATGATTTGCTCTGTATGGTGGCAGAGTACAGGAAGAGGTGAAACAGCTAAGGAGCATAAGGGAATCTGAGGAGGAGGCTGACTAGTAGACCCGTACTCTACCACCCCCAAGAGTAACAGGCCAGCCATCCAAAACAAAAAAACTTCAAGATCCCCTACCTTTTTGCCATCAGGCAGATGGAAGGAACCTAGGAGACAAGGGAGGTTGGAAATAGGTTCCTGCTTGTAGTAGACAGCATATTAACCCCCAGCTCATGTCAACTTCCCAAGTGCCCCTTTACAATAGATACGAGGCCCTGGTACTTCAGGATCAGGAAAGTGAGGAAGATGATGATAAGGGATCATCCAGGTTAGAAGAGTTCCCACAAAAAAGTCGGAGAGCACATCGTTTTTATGATCAGCTGTACTAAAAAAAAAGGGTGGTGGTGTTTGGTGGCTCCACCCTAAGGAGAACAGAGGGCTCCATATGCCTGCCTGATCAGACTCACAGGGGAGTCTGTTGCCTCCGCGGGGCCAGGGTAACAGACATCACCAGAAAATTCACTCATCTGGTACGGCCCTGTGACTACTATCCTTTATTAGCCTTCCAGGTGGGCAATGAAGAAATCTCAAGAAGCCTGAGGGGACCCAAGGACTTCAAGGGCCTTGGGGCCACGGGCTCAGGAGCCCAAGTATTGTTCTCATCCCTCCTGCCAGTTGCAAACAATGTCAATTGTTACATCAGAAGAATCACATTAATTAATTCCTGGCTCCATGACTGGTGTCAGCACCAGAATTTTGGGTTTGTTGACCATGAGTCAGTTTATACAGCACCAGGCCTGCTGGCAGCAGAAAGGGTACACTTGTCCCAAAGGGGGAAAAGGATTATAGCCCAAGAGTTAGCAGAGCTTATAGGGAGGGCTTTAAACTAGGTTTGAAGGGGGAAGGGAATAACACCAGGCTCACTAGACATGAGCCACGGGGTAGCATGCCGCTGTTGTAGTCCAGATTCACAGGGCAACTTAAATACATCTATGCCAATGCCTGCAGCATAGGCAACAAACAGGAGGAGCTGGAAGCCATTGTGCAGCAGGGAAATAATGACATAATTGCCATCACTGAAACATGGTGGAATGAGTCACATGATTGGAGTGCTGTAATGGATGGCTACAGGCTCTTCAGAAGAGATAGGCAAGGAAAAAGAGGTGGTGGGGTTGCATTGTATGTCAGGGAGTGCACTGACTGCCTTGAACTCAATGTTGTGAGTGAGAAGGCTGAATGTGGGTGAAGATCAGGGGGAAGACCAATCAAGCTGATATCCTGGTAGGAGGCTGTTATAGACCACCCAGCCAGGATAAAGATACAGATGAAGTGTTCTTCAAACAACTGGGAGAAGTTCCACGATAGCTTGCCCTTGTTCTTGTGGGGGACTTCAACCTACCAGATGCCTGCTAAAAGTACAACACAGCAAAGGAGAAACAATCCTAGGAGGTTCTTGGAGAGTGTGGAAGATAACTTCTTAATCCAGCTGGTTAATGAACCAACTAGAGGAGATGCCTAGCTAGATTTGCTGTTCCAAACAGAGAAGGACTGGTGGGTGATGTGATGGTTGGAGACCATCTTCGGCAAAGCAATCACAAAATGATTGAATTTTCAATCCTTGGTGAAATCAGGAAGAAGGTCAGCAAAACGTCCACCTTAGACTTCCGGAGGGCTGACTTCGGCCTGTTTAAGACACTGGCTGGCAGAATTCCTTGAGAAACATTATTGAAGGGTCCAGGAAGGCTAGACTCTCTTCAAGAATGAAATCCTGAAGGTGCAGGAGCAGGCATTCCCTATGTGCCAAAAACCAAACCTGCAGAGAAGAAACCACCCTAGCAAAACAGGGAGATACTGCTAGAACTCAGGGGAAAAAAAAAAAAAAATATCACCTGTGGAAGAAGGGGCAGCTACCCCATTAAAAGTAGAAGGATGTTATTAAGTTATGTAGAGAGAAAGTTAGAAAAGCAAAGGCACAGATGGAACTAAATCTGGCCACTGCCATAAAAGATAATAAAAAGTACTTTTTCAAATATATTAGAAGTAAAAGGAGGGCCAAGGAGAACCTCCACCCTCTACTGGATACTAGGGAAACCTAGTGACTGAAAATAAGGAAAAGCCTGAGGTACTTGATGTAGCTGTTAACTCAGTCTTTAATAGTAACACCAGCTGTCCTCAGGGTACTCAGTTCCCTGAGTTGGATGGCAGACATGGGGAGGGGCTGACTGAAGTCCCCATAATTCAGGGAGAAATAGTTAGAGACCTCCTGCTCCACTTAAACATACACAAGCCCATGGGACTAGATGGGTTACACCCAAGAATACTGAAGGAGCTGGCAGAGTGTCCTGGGTTCAGCAATAGCAGTCATTTTTCTCCTACTGAGTAGCTGGTACAGTGCCGTGTTTTCGATTTTATTCTGAGAACAGTGCTGATAACACTGGGTTTTTTTTTTTAGTCCTTGCTAGGTAATGATTACTCCAATCAAGGACTTTTTTTAGTCTCATGCTCTGCCAGGGAGGAGGGGAAGCCAGGAGGAAGCAGAAACAGGACACCTGACCCAAACTAGCCAAAGAGGTATTCCATACCACAGCACATCATGCCCAATATACATACTGGGGGGAGTTAGCCAGAAGGCACAGATCACTGCTTGGGTCAGGCTGGGCATCAGTCAGCAGGTGGTGAGCAATTGCATTTTTTCCCCTTGATGTTTTCCCTGATCATTATTATCATTGGTGATTGGGGGTAGTAGTAGTAGTTTTGCATTATACCTTAGTTACATGACTGTTCTTATCTTCAACCCGTAGGAGCTACATTCCTTAGATTCTCCTTCCCATCACTCTGGGAGTGGGGGGATGAAGAAGGAGGGGGAGTGAGCAAGCGTTGCATCTCTGCCTTGATGGCCTGAGGTGTCATGGGCCCACCAGATTAAAAATAATTCACTCTTATGTTGCCAATCTAAATCCATCTGAGCCACTTTAATCTTAGCAGCTTTATCTACCTGTTGGTTGTTCTGCTGCTCAATGTGGCATGTACCTCCTATATCTTCTCTCTCGAGCAGCAGGGTGTCTTCTGTTAATAGGTGATACACGGGCTGGTACACATGGGGAGCTGAACAGATCACAAAGACTGTCTCTCCTGTTTGAACTCCTAGGTAAGAAGATGATGATGATGATACACTCCGTGTAAGTTTCTGCCACATGGGTCATCTACATACAACTTCATCTGGATCTATGGGTCCATTCCTAGCATCCGGCCTACAAAAAATCATCTCTAGAATGGCTGACTCACTCAGGGACTGGATGCATCTCTCTATCATGGTCCACTTAGCTGAGCGACACATAGAATCATAGAATAGTTAGGGCTGGAAAGGACCTTAAGATCATCAAGTTCCAACCCCCCTGCCATGGGCAGGGACACCTCACACTAAACCATGTCACCCAAGGCTCTGTCCAACCTGGCCTAGAACACCACCAGGGATGGAGCATTACACAACTTCCCTGGGCAACCCATTCCAGTGCCTCACCACCCTAACAGGAAAGAATTTCTTCCTTATATCCAATCTAAACTTCCCCTGTTTAAGTTTGGACCTGTTACCCCTTGTCCTATCACTACAGTCCCTAATGAAGAGTCCCTCTCCAGCATCCTTACAAGCCCCCTTCAGATACTGGAAGGCTGCAATGAGGTCTCCATGCAGCCTTCTCCAGGCTGAACAGCCCCAACTTCCTCAGCCTATCTTCATACGGGAGGTGCTCCAGTCCCCTGATCATCCTCGTGGCCCTCCTCTGGACTTGTTCCAACAGTTCCATGTTCTTTTTATGTTGAGGACACCAGAAATGTACACAATACTCCAAGTAAGGTCTCACAAGAGCAGAGCAGAGGGGCAGGATCACCTCCTTCAACCTGCTGGTCATACTGCTTTTAATGCAGCCCAGGATACGGTTGGCTTTCTGAGCTGCAAGCACACACTGCCGGCTCATGTTCATTTTCTCATCAACCAACACCCCCAAGTCCTTCTCTGCAGGGCT